AGTATTGGAAGAGCTGGAAGGCCAATTGGACTAACCTGATAAACTGAAAATAACATGATAAAATAATTATGAGTTTGTATCCCGTTGCCAGGAAGGCTTTTAACTCTGCCACTAATCTCCCGCTCTCTCCCCTGATCTGGTAAGAACTATATGTAGCCAAAAAGGCTTGAGGGGGCTTAAAGGGGAGACAAAAAACAACTTATGTATTCTCTCTGTGGCAATTTACTCTTTGGCAGGTCTGTACCATAGACTAATATAATAAATATAAAACAAAAAAATAAAAAAGAAGAAAAAGATTATAACAATCCACAACGATAAATAAGAAGACAAATAGTATTTGATATTTTTGAAGTGAAAACTTCTTTAGGTGCGCATTTTTTTGTGGGTAGTGAATGAGATGGAGTCATCACGCTCAGATGTATAACATCAACTAAGGTAAAGTCAGGTTGAGTTGACTAATTGCAATGTTTTTGCATTCTGAATAAAATATCTCAGAAAATAAAAATCGGACCTGCAGATTAAGTGAGGAAAATGTTCACCATTTGAACAGCTATTATTCAAAATTATATCTTAATGCAATGCCGAGTTAGAGAGGTAAAATGGAAAAAGATAGTGTCGAAAACCAAATGATAACAAGTTTTGAGAAGGAATTGGTCGGGGAGGGTGCGGTCAAAAGATTGGCCTAATCTATCAACTGCCTCCATCTCTACATCATGATAACAAGTTTTGTTGAACATACTAAAATATCTCAAAAACTAAAATTTGGACCCGCCTAATGTAAGAAAGAGAAATAAATATTCAGCATTTTATCCTCTTTGTAATGAGCTATTATACAAAATTGTATTTTAAATCGATACCACTTAAGAAAGGTGAAAAAAGAAAAAGATAGTGCCAAAAAACCAAATAATGACTGTTTTGAACATTTGGACTAAAATATCTCAAAATTTAAAAACCATGGAGAATTCAGAAATCAATTTGTGGAAGTCAATATAGATATTTTTTTAAATTAGCCATAAAAATAAAAGAAATGTGTTTCTATTTGATTTTCTGTTGCACTCCATAGAGTTTTGACAAATTACTGAGCCCCGTTACAGAAGTTATATTTAAAAAAATGATTACATAAAAACGTTGGCACCGATAAAAACCTTTAAAATGACTTTGTCCTGACGATTTATCACTTCCCCTCTCCCCAAAAAATGAGTTTTTGCTTGATATTTAGCAAATAGATTTCAATCAAAATTATTCATCACATATTTCATCATCATCATGTGTGGCACGACATCCCGTTACCGAGACTGGGCCTCCTCCAAGAGCCTCCGCCAGTTGGCTCTGTCTTCTGCTGCAGCTCTCCAGTTCTGTACACCAAGCAGGGTTCTCGCATCATAGGCCACGTTGTCCAACCACCTCTTCCTCGGCCTTCCTACCCGTCTTGCGAGGTGCAGCTCCTCCATCATTATTTTCTTGGGTATCTCAACGGTGCTCATTCTGGCCACATGCCCTGCCCACCTTAGTCTGGCCAGTTTAATATAGGTGACTACGTCGATGTCTGCATAGAGAGAACTGAGCTCCCTATTTTTTCTTTTCCTCCAGACATCACCCTCCTTTACTGGACCATAAATCCTTCTGAGGACTCCTCGCTCAAACACACTCAGCTTCATCTCATCGTTTTTGGTCATCGTCCAAGCCTCTGAGCCATATGTCAAAACAGGCCGAACAAGAGTCTTGTATATGATCAGCTTGGTCTTCTTTGAGAGGTACCTACTTCTTAAGTGTCGGCCAAGTCCAAAGACACATCTATTGGCAGCCGTGATCCTTCTTTGTATTTCTTGAGCCATGGCATTTTTGCTATTAATTTCAGACCCAAGGTATATAAAACTTTTCACTCTCTCAAACTTAAAAGAACCTACCTCAAATGGAGAGTTCAGATCCACCTCACCACCAACTCTCATATACTTAGTTTTCCTCTCGTTGACTTCTAGACCAAGTGGTCTTGCAGCTGCTTCAAGGCCTATAAACGCTTCTCTGAGAGCCTGTTCAGACCTACCTATTATGTCAATATCATCAGCAAAACCAAGAAGCTGTGTCAGGCGATTGAAGATTATATCGTTGGTCTGAATACCGGAGTCTCTTACAGCTTTCTCCTCTGCCAAGTTGAACAATAGACAGGCGAGGGCATCCCCTTGCCTAACCCCACTGCTCACTTTAAACTCTTCGGAGTCGTCAGAACCGACGCGTATTCTACATCTCGAGCTGTCCATGGTCATCTTGATTAGGCGTACGAGCTTCTGAGGGATGCTTAGCTCCTCCAAGGCACAGTATAGTTGCGTTCTATCAACGCTGTCGTATGCTGCTTTAAAGTCTAGGAATAAATGGTGGGTGACTACCTTATGCTCCATAGTCTTTTCTAGGATCATCCTCAGAGAGAACAGTTGATCAGTGGTTGAGCGTCCTCTTCGAAATCCAGCCTGATATTTCCCCAGTTCCTTTTCAGAATACGGGAGAATCCTCTCAAAAAGAATGTTAGAGAGCAGCTTATAAGCACACGAAAGGAGTGAGATTCCTCGATAGTTAGCGCATTCTGTTTGATCTCCTTTCTTATGTATTGGGCAGATAATGGCTGTTGCCCATTCCGTAGGCATAGCTTCCCTCTCCCAGATGGTCAGCATTAAATCATGCAGAGCTTTCTTAAGTTCTTCACCTCCACATTTCAACAGCTCTGACTGGATTCCGTCCGGTCCTGGCGCCTTTCCATTTTTCAATTTCATCAGGGCATTTTCCATTTCCTCCTCAGCCGGGGGTTCAATAGAATTCAGGAAGTCTTCCTTCATTACTCCTACTTCTCCAGGCACCGTTCCTCTGTTTAATGCGTCTTTAAAATGTTGTACCCATCTCCTTAGTACGTCATCTTTGTGGCTTAAAAGAGATCCATTCGTGTCTTTGCATGCCGTCGCTCTGGGCCTGAAAGCTGCCCTACCCTCGTTTATTCTCTGAAAGAACAGCCGACTTTCATTTTGGCCGCGCAATGCCTCTATATCCTCCATCTTCTTGTTTTCCCAAGCTCTTCTCTTTCCGCGGAATAATCTTTTCTCTTCGCGTCTTTTTCTTCGATATGTTTCTTGGGAGAGCCTTGTGGGACGCTGAACCTTCTTTCTGTAGGCTTCATTTTTCACTTTTACTGCTTGAAGGCACTCAGCATCAAACCATGGAGGCCTTCTAGATTTAGTCTCGTAGCCAAGAGATTCTTCTGCTGCCTGTTTCATTGCGTTGCTGCATCTCTTCCACTGTTCATCGACCATAGAGCTGTCATTAATTACATCTTCATTAAGTTTCGTCTCCACAGCTTGTTGATACGAATATTGGTGGTCTGAGTCCTTAAGTTTAGCTACATCAATCTTCTTCTTTGGTCGTTGGTGGTGGTTTAATCAGTGAAATTCGTGATCTGACCTCGGCAATGCTCAAATAGTGATCCGTGTCCATATTTGCACCGCTATAAGATCTTGCATTTATCATGTTGGACTTGTGACGGGCACTAATGAGTACATGGTCTATCTGTGAAGTTGTTTGCCCATTTGGAGAGATCCATGTTGCTTTTAGTTGTCCATGTTGAAATAGTTAGTGGAAACATATTTTAGTTTTCATAAATATATTGTATCATTTTTAAAGTATAACAGAAATTACAATCAGAGTAAAGTTTAACAGAATAATTTATACCCAATTATAATTGTATATAATGTAAATGCTATAACTTTGTGAATATAGTAAAAAAATAATTTATATTTCATATTATTAATCTTGCCTTGTCGATGTTTTCACTTCTATTGACTGGTATTAATCATACACTGTAGTTGTTTTATTTTTTATAGTTAAGAAGTTAAATAAATTAATAAAGTATAAATGGTTCTAATGATATTTTAAATTGAGTTATATGCTACCATACAGGTAATAGTGATTGTCTCCACTTCCTTAACATTATATAACTAATAGATAGAAAAAATAAATGACAGATTTTAATATCGCACTTTTTGGAAACATCTAATTCTAAATATTAAATAAAAATCAGAAATAAAAGATGAATAAGTGTTGCTAGTTAAGAAAATAATAAATAATAGATGAGATGGTATCTGACCTTTAACTATTGGACAGTAAGATTGATTCTCATTAATAGAAAGTGGAAAAATGATATTGGCAGTACCTTCATTCTCATACTCAGCATGGTTACTGTATCTGTTCCCTTTCTTTTATGTCTCATTAATATTGCTTTAGCCAATAATTATATTTATAAAAAATATGTAATTATTATATTTATTTAATTATTAATTTGCACCAGTGTTTAATTCTTAGTCTTTATTTTTTTCAACTTAATACAGGAACTGGACTAAGCAAAAAAATCTACATTTTTTAATTTGCAAATGATATATTAATAAATATTGTAAATTACTCATAGTTCAAATGACAATACATGATTCCTTGAACATACATGTGTTAAAATATATAATTTTTTTTCTCAATAAAAGTCTTATTAAATGTCTTCTGTTTAATTAGCATTGAAATGAGGAGAGTTTAAAAAATTACTTTCTATGATGATGGATGAGGACAAGTGCTGGGTAACGGTATTCACCAATGAATAAGAAAATATCATCACATTTATTGATTCAAGAGTGAAAAATATTAAATATTATTTTAATTAATATTTATTTAAAGATAAAAAAAATTCAATTCTAATAATTGTAATTTATTTATACACCTAAAATTACTTTTTCATTTTTATTTGTTCAAAAAAGTAATTGTTTTATAGTCTGAAGCTATATTTCCATTTATCCAAAAATGTATGCCGTCATTGTAGAAAGAATTTAATTTATAAAAAATTTACATATGCTTATTATTTTATTGAAAATTTCCGTCTATACCAGTTTAAAAAAAAAGTATTAAATCTAAAGAAAAAAAGTATTAAGTATGTATGATGTAGTATTTTTAATTAAATCATTATATTAGTATTTTTGTAACAGATGGATGATGAAAATGGATCAGAACATTGTGGAAAAATTATACCCGAATTGGTTTTGTCAGTGATCAACTTTGAAATAAAGGCTAAACTAGTCAAAATCATTTTCGATGATTTATATAAAGCTGATTATAAATTCAGAGTATGTTTTACTGTTTTATCTATTCTCGAAACTTAAATGTACTACCAAATCTCTTGAAATATCTTCTGTTTAATATAGAATAATATTTTACATTCTGCAGCTAAATCTAGACAAAATAATCAAAGGCATACATAACAGTGCTGTAGTTTTTGGTCAAAAAACCCAAAATATAACAGCCATCAATGATAATGAACAACCTGCTTGGATTATTTTCTCAGCTCAACCAGAATCACTCCCAATGAAGGGGAAGATCTTACTCATTATTCATGTTTCTCCTTTCCAGTTAAAAGAATGGCTCTTGACCCCAAAAGTGAAGAAACATCAACAGCAACTTGTTGTAATATCTGACCCTGCTTTGAAAGTAAGTTACACCTTTACAGAGAAAATAACACCATATTTTGACTTAATCCTTTTTTAACTGCTATATCTTAGTCTGAGGTTTTATTCCTTTAACATACACAAACTACAACTACACAAGGATACCCCTGTTCATTTTTGACAATTTTGTAATCTGTTTTAGTCTGCATTTTTCAGTTACCAATGGCCTTAAGCCCTCCAAAATTGGAAAAAAAAAATTTTTTATTGGTCCCTTTTTGTTTCAGTGAGTGACCTGAGCCCAATACTTAAAATATGTACTTTTTAAAATTATAACATAAGTATTTTAGTTTCCTGTCAAGAAAAATTATCCTTAAAAGCATCACTGTTCTAGTAAAGAATTATTTTTAATTTTATTTTTGTTACTTTCTTTTTTTCTTTCATAGTAATTACAGTTATTTAAAAAAAGAAAAACCCAAGTCCCCTCAAAATCAAATCTCAGATCTGCTATTGATCGTACACATATAAGTAACACAAAATATATCAATAATATAAAAAATCTAAATCTAGTGGAAAATTGGTTTTTAAAGGCTAAATAATATTATAAATACATTAGCTAATAATATTTATTATACTACTGGTTTTTATCAAATCAACAAATCACCTTCATTACTTCTATCTAACCATCATTTTTTTTATTTGATGCGTTCTATTAATGAAGAAATTAAAAGGTTCAGAAAGGGACTGTGATACAGGACTTTACACTCAGTTAATTAATCCCAACAGCTTTGGAGGAGGTAAAGCATTAATTGTGACTTCTTGGCGGGAGCATAACTACACACAGTCTGTTAAAATTTTTCCTTCTGAAGACCAAACACTTTATAATGGTAATCATATAGTTGTTTATGCAAGGGATCTTCCACCATTTTCATTCAGAAGGTAAGTTAAAATAAGCTGTTTCGTATTTTATTATTAATTTAATGTTTAACGTACATCTGTACCTCAAGTTTGCTAATATTCATATTAACCTTAGGATTCACAGTTAATTATTAAAAATAAAAAATATTGCTCCATGAATGCTAATATGACAAGGAAATTAATATTTACTGGGACCCTGTCAATTTATGACAGTAAAATTTATCAATGTCTTAAATATATTTTTCCCCTTATATAAACAGGAACCTAGTAGACAGAGAAGTTATTTGGGATGGAGTGGAAGTGAGATTGTTGCTTTTAATGAAAGAAATTCTTAATTTCACCTTGGAATTTCAACATCACACAGGCAAGTAAGTAAGAATCAGCAATAGGACATTGTTGGTCCAATAACAAAGTAATCACCAAATTTTATTATTTTTGGGTTCAGTTTTCTGTTAGATATTTCTTTTAATAAAAATACATGAGTATAACAGTGTGAGTCATAAACTACGTTTAACATGATACTATCAATTTGAATAATAATAATTATCAATTATCAAGTATTTTAATAGTTAAATCCAATACAATAATGCATATTACAGCTTACAGAAATAATCTGCTTGATAAAATAATGTCTTGATTTGATAGATGTACAATTTATGGTTTAGTTTGTAATGGATAATTTAATAATAGAACTTTGTTGACTGGTTAATATCTTTATTAGTTTACGTTTTTCCATAAAGTGTTCTGACCATATATACTAGGATATAGTCCAATACATTTTTGCTTAGTAGCACTGGGATCAGCTTTTCATTTTAATGCTGGATTAACTAGATTATAATTTCTATATTCATAAAGAAACAAGGTTTTTAATAGGAATTCTTTTTAAAACTGGTTTATAATAATTAAATTAAAATATTTGTATTTTTATAGATAAATAAGCCAAGATTATATTTTTATTAACAATACATGAATTATTTATTTTCTTCAGAGAAAGTAGTGATACAATACAGACACTAAGACAAGGTAATGCTGACTTAGTAGTTGGTGGATTTACAATGACCAAGGAGCTAAATTATGAAACTTCAATGATTTACCCCCATTCAATGGATTGTGCAGCATTCATATCGCTAACATCAATAGCTTTACCTAAGTAATATATATATCATATATATATCATAAATATAAATTAGAAATAGGACATATTTTAGTCAACGTTTCATAACTTGAACCTCATATTTATTTGCTGTATTTTCAGAAAAAATTGTTGATTTAAAGCATATAAAATAGGATAATTCAAAAATCATTATGAATAATGATATTTTTGCTTCTTGTTTGATTAATCTATCTAGATCATTTTGTATCTTATTAGTGTGACGTAGACCTTAGGTTTTTAGATTGTGGAATTTTAAAAATTAAAATATAAAAACACAACTATTCCTACAGATATATCCATTTTTTTTTTTGTTTTTGTTTCAATGAAGTACATACTTTTATTTAAGCCCCTTTATCCTGAATAAAAAAATATATAAATGAATCAAAAAGTCCAAAACGCATCTACCGTTCAAACTAATTTTAATTATAAGAGAAATTCTCTTGAGAATCGAGTTATTGGTAGTTGTCTCAGCATGCCTTAATTTCATTTCATTCATGTGCATGACTTCTTATAGATTACTTAAAAAAATAATTTGTTAAATATTTATTCAACAGATACAGGGCAGTAATGGGGCCTTTCTTATGGGACGTATGGATATCAATAACATTATGCTATATCTTAGCCATCATTCCAATTGCATTTTCTGCATGGCATACTTTGAGGCCGCTAATACAACACCCATCAGAAATAGAGAATATGTTTTGGTATGTATTTGGGACATTTACAAACTGCTTCACGTTTCGTGGACAATTTTCTTGGACAAAAAGTGTAAAAAATTCCACAAAATTATTTATAGGTATATTTTATTTATCATAGCTAAAAAAATGTTCAAAAAAGTTTTAATCAAATCAAAGGATCTCTATTTTAGGAACATATTGGATGTTTACCATAATTATCACGGCATGTTATACTGGCTCTATTATAGCATTTATTACGTTGCCTGTGTACCCTGAAGTAATCAACACAATGCATCAACTTTTGCATAAAAATTATCGTATTACTACAATGGGTAATTATGTTTAATGATCACTATGACCTCTTCATGTTAGAACATAAAGCACATAATGGTCTCTCTAATGACATTAACATTATATATAAATTTCCTAACAAGAAATTATATAGACTTGTTTCAGAATATTAAAAACTTGGAAAAAAAATCAAATATAAAACATAAAGTAATCAAGACTCAAATTTTCCTGTTATAGGCTCTTTTTAAGTGGTATTCATTTAAAAAAAAAAAAAAATTAGATATTATTTGGCAGTAAAAATTTTTATTAAAAAGCTTTATTTAGCAGGCTAATTTTTTTTATAGTTGTCAGCACATTGTTATATCCTGTTGTTTTTCAAAATTCCAACAAGAAATTGGAGTGAATTGAAGTGGCAAAAAAAAAAAAAAAAAAAATTGCTACTTGAATTGTGCCTTATGTATTCAGCATGATTTAATTGTAGGATTTTAGTAGTAGGAAATGATATAAACTATTGAAATACATATTTGTGGAAAATAAATTATTAATCACGCTGACTGTATTTTATTAATTGGTAAAGCTGACGAAGGATGGTGGGAACTGCTAACTGGAGCAGATGATGATGAAGCTAGTGGATTGGCAGGTACTGCAGAAACAGTAAGCAATGTTTTAGAAGGCCTTTCTATCATAATAAAAAGTTCAAAAGAAGACAAACAGGTAGCTTTTATGGGCTCGTCATATCATCTTAAGCACATTCTAAAAAGTAACTACAGTGCCAGGTAAAAAAATAAATAATAAAAGATTTCAGAATCGGTAAATTTAGAAACATAATTGGATTTTGCTTTTAAATATTTTCAAAGTGATGTCGGCAAGAGGCAATTATTTCATATAAGCAAACAATGCTTTGTACCTCAGATGATTTCTATGATAATGCCTCATGATTCCATATACATTGATTCATTTAGTAAAATTTTAATGAAAGCGATTGAGGCTGGCTTCATGATAAAAATTCAACAAGATTTAGAATGGAATTTGTATAAAAGTTCAGCTAGACAAACACTATTGCAGGTAATTAAAAAATTTCAACATCTCTCTATTATATAAAAAAGTTTTTAGTGAACGATACTTTATTTTACATATAAAAAATTGGACGGATCGTAACGAAAACACCACACTTCTTATTTATTATTTTTCCCTTATTATGTTTACAAATCGGCAATAAGGCACAACTTATAATTTAGATTTTTAATGAAATTAAAAATTTGTCCAAACTGTGATACAGGGTGTTAAAATAAAATAATGATTTTAACTCAGTACTCCCCGAGAACTAAGATTTATTATTATCAAAGAATATAAATAAATCATTTACAAAAATAAACATTTAAATCACAATATTTACAATAAAAGGAAACTAACAAAATGTAAACTTTTTTTTTTGTCTTCCCTTCCTTGCCTATTAGGCTACATGGGGTTTTCCTGTAGGAATTACGTGTAATTCAGCGTAGGAATTACGCTGAGTTAAAAATCCCATTGGGCACCATGGTTTGAACTCGTAATTATTTTTTATGTCAAACTTCGGTTATCAGGTTGCTGAGTTGACAACTCATGGTACTATCCACACGTGTTAGCCTGCTTGGCCACCCTGCCACCAACAAAATGTACACCATTTACAAAGAAATATTCTGTCTATCATCCATGTCCCTGTCTACATACACTGTTACCTCCCAGCAGACTCCCCATCTAGACAGTGTTGTCATGACAGGAAATTCATTATCAGCCTACACAGTGGTTTTCATTCCATTTATTTTGTATTGATAAAAATTAATACAATGTGAGCTACAGAATACATGTAAGTTACAGTTATGCCATTTTTTTTTTTTTGGATCCTCCCCTTCCTTGCTATAAGGGTTTTCCCAGACCAGGGGGTGTGGGCGGGGATTTAAAAGACTCCCCCAGCACCGATATACAATATTTGAGCAATGAGTAGTATTATTAAATGAATGGATGCAAAATTAGTAAAATGGATGTTGGTTCGATGTTAAGTAGACAGACCCCCTGTTTATTAATAATAGTAAATTCTAGAAGATAAATTGAAATAAAATTCAATAACCATGAAGAGAGATGTTTTATATTGAATCCGAACATGAAATAGAATTTATAGCCATGAAAACCTTATAATTCCTCTGTCAGCCTCGAAATCTTTATAATACAACCTATCCTGCCAACTTATTTACAAGACTTATATTAATAAATATATATATTACTATTCTAATATTTTTCACTTTTATTAAAGTTGTATTACAAATTTAGAGATTAAACTTTGAATGTCACTACTCTACTCTAACTTCTCGACTTGTTTGATAATTTGAAATTGCATGGATTCTTTTTCACTTTTACAGACATTCATAATTCATAATAAACCATTTCGATTTTATGTCTGTAGGCTGGGGTGCTGGCTCCTAGGCTCCTAGCCTGAATTCTCCCAACAATTATTCTCCTCTCTGTTAAGTGAGATCTATCAGACTAATAGATACATAGTACACAGGAGTGATGACACAATCTTATGTATCTATTCTGATTACTATTACTGTTACTTACGGTGATAAAATTATAACAAAATGCTCCTAAAGTAGTGGTGAGGCCAAAATAATTTTCAATCCCTAAAATAACCAACAACTTGGTAACGGTTGCCAAGGTTGGTACGGGTTACCATCAAAACACTAATTGAAATCATTCCTAGAATAATAATATTTATTAATATAAATTAAAGTCTGACAGTTTCCAATTAAGGGGCATCATCTTAAAATGCACCCTCTAATTTAAAGAATTGTCTAAGTTAATTAATATGATTGCTTTGATACTGAATGAAAACAGACTTTATTTTTATGCATGATGTTTAATTCAGGAAAACTTACGAGTATGTTTCAAATATTCATGGATTTCAAAAGAAAATTTATTGTGATGTATGCAAAATTTATAGATTTTTTATCCCTAAAAATAATTATCAATTCCTTTTCTTTGTAAACAGGGGAATTTAAAATTGGAAGCTTTAGAAAGACAACTTACATTGGATGATACCCAAGGGATGTTTTTACTTTTGGGATGCGGATTTGCATTTGCAATATGTGCTTTTGCATTTGAGCTTGGAACTTGGGTAAAAAATCGAGAAGGTGAAAAATTGACTATATTGGTAAAAGAAAGATTACTTGCTGTATCAAGAAGAGTTTCAGCAGCATTTCTTACTCCTTCTAAATCTCATGTCAGAGATCATTATCCGTTATATTTTAGAAATGTTTTTAGAAGAAAATCTTCACTTTTTGGAAGTATAATTTCAGAAGCAGCTGATGGGCAGAAGCCACCAACAGCAGTATCAGAAATACACCTTATGCCACCTACAGTAGAAAAACCAATACGCCTACTAAGTTTTTAACTTACTGCACAAAATCTGGATTCTTAACTCATAATTAAAATCATTATAATATACCTAATCAAAACCTGTAGTTAACAATCAAGTGAAAACTATTCCTTATTGTTACTTAAAAATGATATAATAAATGCAATTTAAAAATTCAATGAGCTGATGATTTACAATCTTTAGGTTTTTAAGATACCATACAATCTTTTATGCTTGAGCATGCCAATTTATTAGATGACTACTATCCTTAAACAAATTATTTAATGAATATGAAATTTTAAATGCTTTTAATACTCACCAGTCATTTGCTTAATTTACAGAAATTTTTATAATTGTTGTTCTTAAAATTCCTGTGGGACCTCAATATATTGTTTATCAAGCTGCAGTAAAATAAATGCCCAGCTGATCACACTAGTACATTTACAGATCAATGTTTATTCCTCTGGCATTCCATTCTTCCCAATATTCATTATCTATGGTCTCCAACTACTTTTAGATCAGCCATTTCTTACAATTTATAACTAGTAGCCTATTTATTTGTATGCCGATTTACCCTACCTCTCTTATCAGTGTTGTAGTGAGTTTCTCAATGTTCCTGATTTCTTCCAAGGATAGCTATATCATCTGCATATTCTAAGATTTTATGATTCATTCCGATGTGGACCCCTCTACTTTACTGTGATGTTGCTCTTATTACCTTTTCCAGGGCTAAGCTGAACAACATCGGGGGTAGTCCATCTATCAATATATGTATATATATATATATATATATATATATATATATAACTCTTATTGAAACTAGTTTAGTATTGGGTTTGCTATTGTACTGTGAATATGGAAAAAAATATCATTCATTACCGTCATATTTTGTTGTATTATTTTAAAAAAGGTTAGCGTGCTGCAGAAGCTCATAGACAAATTTGCAGTTTATGGGGATGATGCCTTAACCGAACGCACCTCTCAAAATTGGTTGGCCGAATTTCATTCAGGAAATTATGACATCAATGATGCTCAACGGTCTGGTAGCCCATATGAAATTGAAATGATCAATGTTAAGGCCATTGTTGATCAAAATCCCATCCAATCAGTGCGAGAGATTGCGATGGCCCTAAATGTGTCGCACACATGCTCGGCTAGGTTTCCAGGCTTAATGTTTAGGTCCCTCACTCTCTAACCGAAGTCAACTTGGCAACACGCATTTCTGTTGGTGAATCACTACAGAAATGGCAACAAAACGACCCATTTTTGAAAAGGTTGGTAACAAGAGACGAAAAATGGATATTTTACAATAATGTTGTCCGTAGAAAATCTTGGGGACCTAGTAATGAGGCTCCTAGAAGAATGTCAAAACCTGGATTGCATCCAAAGAAGATAATGCTTTCCATATGGTGGACTTTCGAGGGTGTTATTTTCTATGAGCTATTGTCATCAGGACAAATAATTGATTCAACTCTATACAGCTCACAATTAACAAAATTGGATCTATCAATTAAAAATAAACGCCCAGAACTGGCAAATCAGAAGGGTGTTGGGTTCCACCAAGACCATGCTAGACTCCACATCTCATTGGTCACTCGCAATAAATTATTGAGTCTCGGATGGGTTCTTTTACCCCACCCTCCCTATTCACCAGACCTAGCTCCAAGTGACAACCACTTATTCCGGTCTCTGCAGAACTCCATGAATGGAAAGAAATTCCAAAAGGAAGAGGGCATCAAAAACCATTTGAATAAGTTTTTAACAATAATAAACTCCAAACATTCTTTGACCATAGTTTTATGCAGTTAGTGGAAAGATGGAAAATTTAATGTCTATAATACATTGAGTTTTATTTCACCCTGAAAAATCAAAATGACTTATTTCCCAACCCAATATATATATGTACATTTTTACTTATTACTTAAATCTGAATGTTTTTAATTAAATATTGTTATTATATAATGAAAATTAAAAGTCAATCACCAACTGAGTGGCCTCATATCAAAGACGGAAAATCTGTCATTTTCAAAAGGTGAAGAAAAAGTCAACTTTTGTTTTATATGTTCAACTCCAACTGTTTCTGATGATTTTATTTAAGAATGTTATGTTAAGTTGAATAATAGGAAAAAAAAAAACTTTTTGAGTGATTTCAATTGAAGCTATTGAAGCTTACAAAAATTGGCTTTTCTGAACTTTGTAAAAATGACAGATATGAGGCCAATCCTTGGCCTTCTTTGATATGAGGCAAATCAAGCTATCTACTATCATTTTTAAGTCCAACTTGTGTCTTCATTTATCTCATTTTTATTAAAAATTGCCCTTTGCTAAAATCATTGTCAGTTTTTCCACCAAAAGTAATAAATATGACAAAAAAATGTTTATAATGACTTTAAGGCATTAAAGTCAGCCTATATTTATAATTCTAGTATTTGAAAGGAAATATCTATTAATTATAATTGATGATTAAATGATTATTACGTAAAAAAACTTTGAACAACTTTATTTTTAAGAAACAATAATTACAATATAAACATACTTTTAAAGAATAGAATAAAATAAAAAATAAATGTAAAATAATAACAAAATCACATATACATAAAAGTTTTATCCATATCCTTTAAGATACTCCTGGGATGTATATTTGTTGGTTCCTTATTGAGAATAAAAGAAGAAAGCCCAGCTTGAGAAAACATTTTCAGAAGAGGACCCAATGTCACAGAATCTATATATGATTGGTCACTGTACAAAACTATCAGCAGTCCTGGTTTTTCCTGGCTTTCACACCAACTTAAAACTGAAAGCAAGATTAATTGATTGACTAACTAAATTGAAACTAAATTAATTGATATAACTTGGAAGAATATAAAATAACCATTCGGTTTGAAGTAACATTTAGCCGTTATAATTTTAGTGAGTACTTCAAAAAGATTAGGCTTCATTTATTTAAATTTATATCAATTTGAATTTGAACCATTTTGTTTGTTTACAATTAAATTTGTTATTAGTAATAATACATTCAAATAGTCTTTTGTCTTAACATTTACTTCACTTTCCTCCAAAGTTTCAGGCTATTATCAAGAAAAATCTTACTAATAATAAGAAATCCATTATAGACCAATTTGCAGAAATGTCTCAGCATTATTTACATATTTCCTACATTAAATGCTATTTTTTTGCAAATTATCCTGTACTGAACTTTTAGTAATAATAACATTATTTTATTGAAATGGTTTCTTTGACGAAACATTGGAATAAAGTGAAATAAAGGTCATGGCCAAGAATCATTAGAAGATTTAATAATTAATTAAAATTGTAGAGATCCAAATCTAGTCAAAATTAAATTGAATATTGTGTAAGTCTCTAAAAAAATAAAAATCATTAATCAGAATTGTAACTTTACTACTAAATTTGATAATTATAAATTTTGAGATTATTCTATAAGTGGATCTAACTCAATCCAGATTAATGTTTATATATGTAATAAATATAAAAGTAAAAATACGGTGACCGCCACCAAATATTTTACCATAAAACTAAAATCTTGATAGTTTACAATTAATGAATATGGTATATACATCACTAATAGTTTCTCTGAGTGAGATAAGAGTGATTATATGATATACTAAATAGAGAGCTGGGCTAAATAAGAATAAATGGATACATACTTAAAACTTAAAAAAAAAAACATAGTGACCGTGCCAATTTTATTCTTGATCCAGTATAGCAAAACTATATGATTACACAATTACAATCATAATCAGTAACCAGATTACTCTAATCATAATCAAGTAATCATTGATTAAGATTATGCTCATCTATGACTAAATATAAATATCAATAGTATTAAAATAAAAAACATCAATATAAAGTGATACTTACCAGATGCTGGAAAATCTGATATAAAATTAGGTTGCTCCAGGTGCTTAATGACCACTGGGAATATATATTTGGATGTGGAAAGTGCTCTTATGAAAGAAGAGGGTAAGTCATTGATTGAGTCACATCTAAAATTTGCATTATGACGTGATGCTAACACAATAATTTCTTTACACTTCTTTAACCATGGAGCAATCTATTAGAAAAAAAAACAGAATAAATCCAAGTGCAACTAAATAACTTTATTGTCAGGTAATAACTTACTTCCATATACTGTAAAACCCAATTAAATGCAATAGAAATGTATGAAAGAAATAATGGATAAGTTTTGAATAAATAAATTAATTATCCTCTAGTTACTTATCAACAATTATAATATTTTAATAATCAAAAAACTAAGATTGTAATAACTGACAACAAAACAACACTTTGCTATTCATTGATGTGTTTTTGAGATAAAAAAGCTTACAAGAATAGTAAGTTGATTAGCGACAGTGACATCTATCGATGGTGATACTTGTAGAAGGAGGCAATTATTAGACAAAAGGTAAAGTTTAGATGTTATATTTGTTTTCTGTTTGATAATCACCACATCTTCAGAATTATGCACATTGTCTTTGGAAAATTCAACTTCAGCAAGAAGTTTATCTGATTTTTGATGCATATATATTTGAGAAAATCCTGAAACAGAAGAGGCATTACTCACACTGTATATAGATCTCATAAAATACATTTGACCACCACTCATACCTGTAGAAACAGTGCCATCAGAAATTATAATCCCAGGATATTCTGATAAAGAATCATCACTTATTTTTTTAAGCGTTAATAGAGGCCTAAAATTATGAAACGATAAATAAAGTAGAACTGTTAAAATACTAGTTAATCATTTTAAAATGCAATCAGAAATCAGTATCATAAATAAGAAATAATGAAATATTAACATGGAAATACTTACTTTTTTTCCAATGAAGAATCCTGTTCTTCATTATCCACATCACTATCATCGTAATCATCAAAAAATGCCCTAGATGATGGATATACGACTTCTCCAAAAAAAGTTGCCATGACTTTTAAAATGCACAATAGCGCTACTTAGACTCAATCCAAAGAACTAGATACTCTGACATTTAATGTCCAAGAGATAAGGAAAGATCCAACATCAGAATACATCGATCATTAATATGTTCTCCCTTTTTAATAGGATAAAATTAAGGGATTTTGTAAATTTAACTGTGGACTGTAACTGTGACACAAGCTGTGGCATAAGCTAAGGCGATAATCTTGCCTATCTACTTTTCAATGTGGGAAAAGACGCGCGTAAGCCAGATATATAACTCTGGGCCACCATTTTAAAAAGAAAACTCATTTTCATAGTCCAGTTAACAGATTAGGCTGATTTTTAGATCATTACCATGATGGGACATGTCTTCTTAGTCATTCATAGCTTTGAAATAGGCTGCGAAAAATCTTGGTATTGTTATAGACGAGAACGGGCACATTATATGAAAATTGGAGGATGTGGAGTATAATTGAAATCTTCGATGCTAGACCATACAAGTTTGAGAGATTGAGCAGCCCTAAATAAGTGAGAATAGAAATGTATATTTGATTTATTTATACATGCCACTCTGATGTACATATTTCTTGAAATTAGAATAAAATTATTTTTCATTGTTTCATTTGAGGAAGTTCTACTTGAATGCTCTCCATCCCACGCAAATCGGTCTGTGGTTGGATGTTGTTTCAATGATCGCAAGGATCCTTCTGGGCACCGTAACTGAAAGACGACGCTAATCTACTGTGCAGACTAATGGATATTGTTAGGGGATGCCCAGGCTAGGTAAACAGATTTATCACCAATGGTGATGATGATTAAAACAAGATAAGAGCGGTCAAAGAAGAGGGAAATAAAAGAAATAGAAGGCATATTTAAAAGGTATGAATCAAGAGTAAAAATAATGTAAAGGAAATAAAGTACTTTTGAATGAGTAACCAAATATAAGTTAATTAAATACATAAACGAAAATGAAGCAGAGGTGGTTGGGGTTGTGACCAATATACCTTCATTTTTAAGTTACTCCATTACTTTATTGCTTTCTAGAGTCTCTGATAGCTACTAATCCTTAATGATGAAAACTAAATTATAATACTGAATGTTTTACAGTTGACCGTTGTATTATAAAGGAAGGAGATGGTCCGGGGTCGCTTTCCAGTTCTAAGTGAAACTCCTAGAGGAACACACCTCCTTGATGAAGACCTGCAAAGTCGGGTCGAAACGTTGGCTTTCAATAAAATAGTTTTACCACTATTTAGCCTTTTTATGACCGCAACCCCGGACCATCTCCTTCCTTTAAATTATAATACGCTTCAACTCATGTGTAAATCAAGTTACAAAGTGTTTTAGTGTTATATTGTATCTAATTATTAATTAATAAACAATAGTGATATAATAATGGTAACGTAGAAATATAACGGAGACTGGCACTGGTACTGGTGGGCATGGACCTGATCTAATCAAAGTGCTACTGAGAGACAGCTTCATCTCCATTCTTCGAAAAAGAAGATAACTTGTTAATAATTACGTTTCGTTCAAATATATAAATTATTTGATTATTTTCTCTTCAATCCTTCGAAGTTAAGAACAATTAAAAGTTTATTTGTAAATATCGAGATTTTTTCATGCGTCGTCATGATGCTGCTCTAAATTTTTATATAAATAAAAATATCCGTATTCAAATGTAAAGTATGTACTTATATTACCTTAAGATGGGTTAACTTTGGGACTGATTGGGTGACTTTGGGACAGCGGGTAAAATTTACTTTGCGGTGATTCGTGGCGGATACACTGTTTTGTTAGTTGCGGCATGTTGAGAGCTCTAGTTTACTACACTCGTTGTGCAGTTAGATTTTATTTATTTACATTGTTTGTTTATTTATTTATTTTTTCAATATGTTTGTTTTCATGAAACATTCACTTGTGCCTCAAGACTAGTGAGACGCAAGGAAGTAGTGCAGTACATACCTACACAAAGCACGTTTTTGCAGACTGAACAATTTTGTTTGTTTTTTTATTCCCCCTGCCTGGCCATTTCTGGAATACGGGGTTCGGTGACAGTAGGTTAGTGCGCATGGGATTTGCGCCTGCTACTGCCACCAATAAACTCTTTTATTTTGTTATTTTTCTTTATTTATTTTTACATGCTTTCTGGATATATTTATTTTAGGTACATTATTGGTTAACCTGTGGAGCCGCCCAACGTGCGGCACCTTGTCTTCCTTGGTCCTCTTCCTGGGTCTCTTCGTCTCCGGTCTCTGGCGGACGTCCTCTCCCAAGGATGACATTCTCCGGTCCTACCACCTCCTTCTATCTTCTGACAGACCTTTGTAGATCCGCCTCTTCCATTTTATATTGTTCTATTATCCTTGACAGCCAGACTCTATGTCCAGCCATCTTTTCACACATCAGGACTATGTGCTCCGCCGTGTCCGGAACCCCACTGGTGGGATACAAGGGATTGAAGTTCTTGCCATGCTTATTCATCTTGGCTCTGAATCCCCCGTGTCCCGTAAGAATCTGCGAGGTCCAGTAATCCGGCTTCATCCACCTCGCCTCCATTCTGGAACTAACGGTGGGAAAGTACTTCCTCAGGGTGGAACCTCTCTCGCTTCTCACCCACCGCTCGTGCCACTCCCGAAGTGAGTTCTCCTCCACCTGCTTCTTCCAACTTCCTGGTTCCTCCTCAGTCCTTCGCCGTAGTCTCTCTGGAAGCGACCTAGTCCATGTCTTTTGACATTGAACTTGATTGCGTCCTCCTTCAGGATCAGGTCGATGGGCATCTCTCCAGCCAGCATTTGTACCGCCTCGTGCGATACCATTCTGTAGGCTTTTGTCACTCTCAGTAGGGCCAGTCTCTGGATTGCCAGTTTTCCTCTCGGATCTTTTGTGAGTCGGCAATTCCACACAGGCGATGCGTACCTCATTATTCCAAAAACAACTCCTTCATAGATTGTTCTGGTCGCTGGGTACTTGATCTCCCATAACGCACTTCCTATCATAGACAGACCATTAATGTGTCAGCCACACTGCCTCTGAGGTACGCAATGTGTGGGCTAGGGTCGAAGGATCTTTGAACCTCACCCCGAGGTACGTGACCTCTTCATACGCTCGCACCCTCTCTTTTTGCAGACTGAACCAACACAGTGTATCCACCACGGAATCACCACAAGCTAAATTTTACCCGGTGTCCCAAAGTTACCACATCTTACGTTATCTAATAAATACACACACACAGATATATATATATATATATATATATATATATATATATATATATATATATATAATATATATATATATATATATATATATATATATATATATATTAATTTTCTTTTTTCTTCAGGCCAAATAGACCTTTTGCCTGCCTTAACCAGTCATCTCCTTCTCTGCCTATCTCAGCCTATTGCATTATGGCCCATCCTCTTTGCCTTCATTCCTTTTTTTTTTCCTCCCCTCCCTCGATTTTAGGCTATATGGAGTTTTATCTAACCTGGGCCTGGGTGAGGGCAGGGGATTGCATTCATACTATAAGGTATTGGATTAATCAGTTACAGTAAGTAGTTCATTATTAGTACTTCTCTACTATACATTTAATGCTTAAAAACATTCTACCCCATTCTACCCCATCTCTTCTTTTTCATAGAAAGAGGAGATAGCGAAAACAAACGAATCGTAACAAATAATCAAATGTCCTTATTATTAGGACGCAAAGCTTCCTTGATAGAAGCTAAAAGCGGTAAGTGACCTTCTGGATGTCACCCTATCCCCACATCTTGCTCCTTCCTTAGGCGTAGGGATTTTTTTGATATTTATGGTTAATTATTATCCTTCATCTCCTAACTAGTCTAAACAAAGTCTTAAAGTAAAAAAATCGTGTTCTTTTCATTGCACTTCATAATAATTCTTTGGTTGGACTCGTAAGTTTTAAAGCAGGAGTTAGGCGTGTACACCTCTCTCCAATCCTCTGGGTCTTCCTTATGGTAGTCTCTTACTTCCACAGTGTTTTGGGCTTCCTTTCCTTTTTTCAATTTAAATTATTCATTGTAACAGTTTCCAAATATTAATTTAATTTTTTTGTTATTATTTGTTTTGAAAAGATATGGATAGGCAGTAAGTGTGTGGCCTGAAATAATAGAACATATCAAGCAAGACAAGAATAACATTTCACAAGTTAATATTACTTTTATGACCATTTTTTGTTTTCATCATTAATGATCAAAATATCAATAATTCCACAATCCATGACCTTTTAAATGTATGTGAAGCTTGAACATGTGGTTTTTCGGATAAATGGCCCAAGTTTTCCACAACTTTGAGTTTAAACTTAAGTATTAAATAAATAAATCTCGACTAATATAAGGTTTATATAGTTTTTTTATTAGAGCTTAATGATTTATTGTGTTTCAATTTTATTTACATTTGGTATATTATGTCCATGCACTAAAAAAAAATTAATAATAATAGAGCTACTGTGGATTTTAAGAAATATTTTCAGTCAATGAAACGTTTCAGAAAATGTCTAGAGCTATCTAACCGGGCTGATTATTGGCTGGCTACCCATTCGTGAAGAAGAGAATTCTCTTTGAATTTAAAATTACTTTACTTTGAGCCTTATATGAACTTTAAAGAGAACGCAACAGAAGATGAGAATTGGGCAAACTAAGATGTGGAGTAGTGGGGTTGTCTGTTGCAACTTGCCTTCCCAGGACCAGTACACACCATCACCGGTAGGCCGACTCAAATCTTCTCTCAGGTAAGTAACTTCAAGCTTGAGGGTTCTAACTTTGTCAGCTGGTATTATTTTAAGGTTTGTTTATATGCTTTAGAAATTGATATCATATCTTAAGTTTCTATACGTATTGTTTTGCTAATCCGTAAAGTTTATTTAAAAAAAAAAAAAAAAAAATAAACTTTTTTTGCTTGAAATAAATTGGCAGTATTATTTTTTTATTTAGATTATGTTTTTTTTTTTGCTTTTGCTTCTTATTTAATTATTTTAAAAAAATAATTTTTTATTACTAAAAATTATAATTTGGAGATGGTTT